ATACTCCGATACATCTTTAAGTCATCAGCAAATAAAAGGCACTGTGAATTATGTATGGAGTCGCAGATGTCATTAATGAATATATTAAAAAGTAAGGGGCCTAGGGTGGAACCCTGAGGCACTCCACACTTAACACGATAAGGATACGAAAGAGTTCCAGAGACACGAACAAAGGATTGCCTGTCAGAAAGATAACTATGGAACCAATCAACATAACTGGATGATAGTCCAAAGTTTCTAAGTTTACCAAAAAGAATATTATGAGGAACTAAGTCAAAAGCTTTAGTAAGATCAAAGTATACTGAATCTGTTTGTCCTTGAGTAGTCACTGGATATAACCATAAAATTTCGCATTTTTCCGTGGATGGAAATGCCGACTTAAAATCAGTATTATGTACACAATTTGTAGGAATGTTTGTAATCTGTGTCCCTGTAGAATTCTGTATTTTACCTTCAGTGGCCCATTAGTTATTACCATCAGACTGAAACCACAATCAACATGTCGTAATTCTACAAAAAGAATATTACCTGTACAGAAGTCGCGTATTTTTGGAAGGTTTATTACCACATATCTTGTCACGACTACTTATCGAGTAGCTCCACTGTCGCTGCCACCTCATTTGTTTGCGCCTCAACCGTGTTATTACAGCCTACTGTTGATTGTATGGAATGTAAAACTACAGGATTGGTATGGCCAAGAGTGGTCATTAGTACCAAATTTCATGAAAATCGATGTATGAGTTCAAACGCCGAAAGGAGAGACAGACAGACAGACTGACAGCATGGTGACCTGATACGTGATTTTTTTCCTCGAGAAACGAAGGTAGGATGCAAGATGTTAGACATTCAGAGGTGTCGTTACCGAAATGACCGTATTATTGTTGAATATATTAATTGGAATGCGATTTATGATTGATTATGTGCATGTTTTATTTGTAACGAACCATGTTCTCAGTAATGACGCTAGGTGACATAATGTTACATTTTACAAGTGCTGCTACTGTTAAGCATATTTTAGAAGGTATGGCGATACGCGATACAAACTAGTTTCCTTTTTGTTTTTGAGGAGCCTTTTCTACTAATTTAATTAAATTATAAAAAAATGGTAAGTCAGCCTTTAGATTTTTTATAATAGACTGTGTTGTCGACATTATGACATGTTTTATGATATGTGCATAGTCTACGCGTCATACTTTTTTTTTAAAAAAAGCGTTTTCAATTGGCCATCTTGAGACTGAATGCTGTCGTGGGGAGATTAAATTGATAATTAAACCTCCACATCATAATTTGATGTTGTAGGTTAAGTTATTGTTTCTTGCTGGAGGGTCGTTTATTTTCGTGTATGATCGATTTTGGGACATGGATCTATCTGTGTTCTTGTTTCTGTCGCTGAGGGTCACTTGCACAGGGAAATTAGTCTATTACCTGTTTATGTGAAATCGTAGGACTGCCATTTTTGTTACATACGGATTACTACCATGATCATTGTGCTATGAGGCCATTTCGGTTTTCGTAATGGATCTTGTGATATAAAATAAGCAGTGGTTCCCGAATTAAGCTATTAGTGATTACTGCCAGAAGATGTACTAAATTAACGCACGCTTATTTTGTAAATTACTGATAATTTGTCTGCGTGTGTTCGTGCCTAGGTGCGCCTTTGTTGATTTAAATGGCTCTGGATCGAGTGTGAATCATGTAAAATATCAATGAGTTAAATAAACATTAATAGCGAAATATGTTGGTGTACGACAGTCTTGCGTTTAGAAGTATAGAACCGCATTTTACTGTTGTAAATACGTTGTTATAAAAGAAAATCAGGTGACTATATAGAGCGAAATGTAGTCTGCTACACAGAGCTAACTTCTTGCGTCAAACTGTATTTTTAGAGGTTGAAGGAACTTGGAATATTTAGATAAATTATTGATTGTGTAGGTGTTTAGCAAATAATTCGGAGGAACGTATCGCCTTAGTTTTCACTTTTACCCTGAAGATTAAGGCGATATATTCATCCGAAACGTTGGTAACCGCCTACAGGATAACAGCGTTACGACCCAGGAGACCACTGTCGACATATTCACCGCCTTGAGAACCTCAAATCACGTGCATTTTCCAGCAGACCGTACCCATGTCTTTTACATGTTCGCTTCTAGAGCGTCTCAAGAGGATTTTGTTTGCGTTAACGGTTCGTGGAGTGAAGTAGTTCCGTGGAGTGGAACGCACATACATATACAGGGCGTCTTGTTTGAACAGGCAGGGAGATATTTTAACGTTATGAGAATCATGTTCTTTCAAGACAGTTGCCTATCGTGCGGTAGTCTGTTAGATGCACAAGAATTTTCTGATTAGTGAGAGTCCGTGAACCCTACACCGATCGACCATTCAGTTTACAGTTTGAATAAAGAATCACTCAGCTCGATTGATTAGTAGATATGCCACACGTGAGGTCCTTATGTAATTTGAGCTTGGAAATATTTTACACCACCGCAAGGTATTTGTACATATGTAAGACTTGAGGTTCTCACAGCGGTGAGTATGAAGATTTCTGTCTTCTGGGTTGTTGCGCTGTGTAGTCTGGTCGATGTTAACCAACGTTTCAGAGGTCATACTGCCTCCGTCATCAGGACGATGAATATGAATTTGTACATAATTTTCGGATATTCCACTCGGCCTTAATTTTGTTTGCCTTCCTTTTTTTCTCCCTGCGAATGTTTAAATACTGTTTTATTTCTGGATTGAAATAATTTTACTTCACCTTTACTCGATCTTGAAGACGTGGCGTTATGCAGAATGTTGTCCTAAAATATTGCCCCATACTAAAAATGTTCCCACCATTGAAGCAATTTGCATGATATTTAGTACTGTGGTTGTGTTGCCATTGGCCCGACCAATATACTTAATCCTATATACTATGTAAAGTGTGAAATATTAAAAGCAGAAGAATGAGACGAAACACTAGAAAGGTAGAAAACTAATGGATAGCTGAGAGTCAGCCGATGTTTCTATACAGCGTATTAGAACGCTTGTGCGCCTGCGCAGATGGGATACTTCTGTTTGATGGTCGAGTCAGTTCTCGTCCTCGACGGACAATAATATTCGACGAAGTTGCAGAACCTACTAGCCTTCCGCTCAGCTATAGGCGTGCTTAGAAGTTTCTTGTAAGTCGAAAATAAGAACTCGCCTCGATAATTACATTCTTCTTGGAAGAATCTAGTAGCGTGACGACTTAGAGGAACCTGTTGGTAGATGCGTGTGTGTGGATCATGCTTCATTACCGTGCAACGATCACACAGCGCTGCTTCCCACCTCGCCCGGACTTTTCTCCTAGCAGATACATGCAAGTTGAAACGAAACTGAAGTTGTTGTTTTTCCCCCCTGAAGGTTTGTGTTTATTCGCGTAGGAAACCGTATGTAGGATTTGCTGACTCATTGGCTTCGTTACTGATGGAATCGCGGATTTGGCTCGACTCTTCTTGTAAGCGAGGGCTCGGTCGGCCGTAAGATTGCTGTCAGAACTGGGCAACAACGAGAGGAAAGCAAACATTGGTGCGCCGATCTGCATTTTAAATCTACGATCTTGGTTTTTGGTCGTACTCTGTAATTAGCCAAGCAGAACTCAATAGTTTTCTGTGGAAAAACCTTCCCATATATTCATTAGTAGAAAAAATTATATTTCGTTCTGTAGTTACATTGATTATGGCAGATATTTGAAAGTTTCGATGGAACCCATAATACACACTCCCTTTGCTATAACGTTAAATATTGTTTGATCTACTCACAGTTTATATTTATTGGAATATATCTAAAATGTACTTCGGACTTCGTGTAAAGGAATACTAGAATACCTAGTCATCAAGTTTGTCACTAAGGATTTGAGGTTTTTACGGCTGTAAATTTCTACCAGACTACACGGCGTAGCAACCAAGAAGACATCTTCAAGGTTGTCATTGCAGTTAATATGTCTAGAAATCTTAGAAATTGCTTTATGAGACTAATAGACACTCAGATAATGAGGAAGGCTGCCCTGTAAACATTATCGGTCCAAGTTTTGTGTTTTTTAATGCAGCGTTCTGGTGTGTTATATTCTTAAGATACGTCATATTCACACACACTGTGTGCCATTTTTTAAATGTTTATCAAACTAGATGTTTTAGTTGCATGCGACTATCTTCGGGATAAAAAATCAAGATTGACCGTCGTTATTGGTTTAATCCAAAATTGAGACAAAATGGTTTCTAAAAGCAATCAATATACTTCTAAAATGTTTAAAACTTTTTAAAAATTATAAAACTTTAGTAGCACAGCTAGATGATACAAGACACCACCATTCCAAGTCTCAACTAGTGCCACTGAAATTTTATAAAGATTTTAAAAAGAAATTTTAAACATTTCAGAAGTTCAGTTGCTTATGACATTGTATCTTAAAAACATTTTATGTCAGTTTTATACTAAACCAATAATGACAGTAAATCTCAGTTTATGATGCCAGTGCATTTATTACGTAGACATGTCGAACCTGAAGATGGTCGGATGCAACCGAAACATGTTGTTCGATAAACGCTTAGAAAGTGGCAAACCGTGTGTGTGAAAGTTACAGTTAAAAAATATCAAGCACTTTTGTGGTTATGTTCAAAGTCCTTTATCAGCCAAAAATTTGGTGTCAATACTGTCATGTTTATGTTTGTTAAACAATTATTATTTTTTTTACTTTTAATTGGCATCTCATTGGTTATCATTGATAGTTTGGTGGGGCCAGCCCCCACAATTCAGTACTAATGAATCTGCATTGCCATAGCTGACTGACAGTGTGAACATTAATTCCGCACATTATTTATGTTTTTGTAAAAGGCAGTAATCTATGATAAAAGGTGCAACACTTTTACACTTATAACAATTTGCCTTCATTTTCCAGGAGTTTTTGTTGGCCATAGATGTGACATCCTCGGGTTCACCAGAAGAGAAACTGAAATGGGCATTTCGCATGTATGACGTGGATGGTAATGGGGTAATAGACATTGAAGAAATGACGAAAATAGTTCAGGTTGGTTATATACTTACTAATACGCTGTGCACACTTACATGCAAAGCTTCAGCTATATTTATTTACCTCCAGAAAATTTCAAGTGAATAAATAGTAACATGAACGTTTATTATTTATGATGTCAACGGATTTCACAGAGTGACAAACAGTAATATTGAAATGAAATATGTTATTAGAGGTCTACAACACAGGTTCAGAACTCTTGACGGAATGAGCTATTGAAAGTATTGATAAATCTTCTTAGAGGTTAGGAGGAAGATGGGGGTACTTATGGATTTTGTTCAGTGGTAAGTTTTGGTATTAGAGGTATTGAACATTTGGGTTCTGCTATCGCACCACACCATCACAAATGAAGGTAGGTGGCGCTGAGAGAGTAACAGTATCTGAATGCTGTATATACAACGGTCCCGCGATTTACGATGCAATATTTCGATTAACGATCGACCTATTCTTTCTATTATCGATATGTATGTGATGTAACATGGCACCCAATTTCGGCCAATCGTGGCTCTCCTAGGTAGATTCAGCAGGTCACAGCCAATCTGGCAACCCTTTTATGAGCGTTTGGAGTTCAGCTCGCTTCCCTTTCAGTGTTTCGTGTGGGTTGCTTGTCTTGGAACGAATTAAGCCATTGACATATTTCCTATATTCGAGTGACGATCGTTTAAATTAACTATGATTTTCGATGAAACAATTATTATCGGTAACCGAGGGGCCATAGTAATCGTTATCAGTTACATAAATTGATACTTGTTATCAGAGAAGTCCCAAAATAACAAGTATATACAGTTTACAGTTACTACTGTAATGATTAGTGGCAGAAAAAGACACTGTTGCTTCATTCAAATGCTGTTACTTGCTGTAGTATTCACTTATTGTGACCAGTAGCTAATATACGAGAGATTTAGATAGTTGTATAAAGTGATACATAACTGTGAAAAGTTCCTGTTTGGTTTTTTTTATTCAAATTGAATGTGTGTAACTAATTTCTTATTTCTGTAATTTTTCCTTCTATGTAAGTTTCATACAGAAGTGGGCCTAATTTGATGTGTTCTTACTTCAAAGGCAATCTATGATATGCTGGGTGCCTGCTCAGCAAACCGGCCGGCAGACTCGGCTGAAGAGCGAGCCAAAAACATTTTTGCCAAAATGGACGAGAACAACGATGGTCAGTTGACTCAGGAAGAGTTCCTCAAGGGTTGCCTGCAAGATGATGAACTCTCCAGAATGCTTGCACCATAATAAGTGAAAATCAAAACTCCAAAATACTACAAGACATTCTCATCATATAAATGTCTTCTCGTTTTATGATCTTAAGTATTAAAATTATGAAATTCCGTTGTTGATAGAGCATTCCAGATGCTGCATCCGGTGGGCAGTGACCAGAACATTGCGTTCTGACAGAAAAGAGAAACGGGTGGCACATTGAAACATCGTGATGAAGGCTTCATAACCCACATTCCATAATGTAATCAAATCATCAATACAACAGAATGTTTTATCTCGTTTCAAGAACAATGCTGAAGTAAACATTCCAGTTTGTGATATTTAGTTTTGACTATATGCATGTTTAAAATGGTCAATTTACAGGCGTAACTGCTGCATTAATCAGTTGGCTTATGGATGTGATTTGTCGATATCTGGATTATTTTATGTTGATAATATTACACGTTAGGCTTGTTTAAAATATGTATGGAATCCATGCACACAACTTTTAAACAGTTTTCTTATGCTATTTAGACAGTTTTCCTTTAATTTCATCTCGCAGCAAACAGAAACAGGATTGATTGAGGAAATAAGGTTCCTAATGTAGTACTGAATACGTATTAACTAATTTCGTACCATCTTGAGTATCTCATTTACTTAAATGATAATTCTGCCATAAAACGAAACTTCACATGCAGATAATATCCTTCACCTTTTGCACGCCATCAATTACAGAATAGTTTGCTCATAAGAAAATAGCTTCCATGTGTTTTTAGGGTAATAGATTGGAGGAAGACTGAAAAAAGGTGTTAAGTGAACCTGTAACACCAGCTTGGATATTTCAGGATAAATTGGTGGACGTATTGATGTGCATCATACCTAATAGTTCGCAATACCTCAGAGCAGTGGTCCCCAACCTTTTTGTGCCTATGGGCACATTTGAGAGTTTATGAGATCGTGGCGGGCACCAACCAATTAACAAAGCCAAATTTTCTTTTCTCTGGACAAATAAGATATGGACACCAAATAATACACAAAACAACAAGACGTTTAATGATACAAGAAACCATGCAATCAAAAATACGTAGTTTTATAAGTACAATTATTACTACTCAAGTGGGAAGTTAGTGTGTTGTTGGCACTGCATTTCATCGGCCAGTTTTTCAAATTTGGGAGTGTAGGATGATGTTGCTGCTCACAAACAATCGTCAAGATGGGCATTAGTAAGTCGAGATCTGTGCTTTGATTTTATAATGTTCATGGTTGAACGGCCTTCATTATTCAGTATAACCCCTTTCCGTAACAACGCGGGCGGGCACCGCGTTGGGGACCACTGCCTCAGAACAATATGATTAAATGCACATGTGGCTTTACAATAGCAGAATTTGTTACAGGTAGTGTACACTTGCCTTTTATTCTAGTTTTCCTAGGAAATGTGTTGGCCTCTTTAAGATATGATGATTGTTGATGAGTCCCATTCTGGCCTGTGGGTCAATAAGACCTACGTAGTTTGCCTAAGCAATCAAAAGAATGCTGTAATTATAGTTTGCGACTGTAATCTTGGGACTTGCAAGGAATGCGGGAAGTCTGAAGCGTTAAAGGCTGACACTATCTTTCCTCCTTCGCCCCACTTCCTCACCCCACAAGTCTCAAGATTGCAGTCGCAAACAGTACCTCTGCAAGAAAAAATGTTGAACGTGAAAAAGCGAAACCCAGTTGAAGTATATTTTTATTCTTATTGACACAAATTGAACATTGTTTTTAAATGTTTTAATCTAAATATTTATTTTAATCAGAACTGGCGTCAGACAAATTAATTTACGCAGCAGTATTTGCACCTCAACAAATGTGAAAGAAAATAGTTCTTCAGAAGAGTGGCTTATAGAACTCTTTTACGGTCTTGATAATATAGAAGATTTACTAATGTAAGTAGATGTATTTTGCTAACCTTATTCTATATCTTCTTCAAGTGACATATCACATTTGTGTAGAATGCTTAGTGATGAGCAGTTTGTGTTATAGACCTCCGTGAAGTAGTTGACACTCAAGAACTTCTACCGGGAAATAGACTTGCGTAGGACATTTTTGAACTTTTCTATTGCTTCTTTAACATAATGATGTATCACTTAAGTCTCACATTATGCTTCTCACTCTCTCAGCTTTGCATGCACAACATTATTGGAGTTTAGTAATGACCAGAGTTTCCACATTTTGCATAAGTACAACATATCTCGTAGTCATAATCTTCAGATCTTTGTCAAATTGAAATATGTGCAACCTTAACTTGGTAGTTTCGTCAGATATTCTTTCTGTCTTTTGACTCCTTTCTTCACAGGGTAAACCCTCTTTGGGTATTGTGATCAGTAACATATGATATTAATACAGTACATATTTTGAAGATTAAGTGACTTATGAATGGATTATTCAGGAAGGGTAACAAATTTCACTTACTGCTTGCACAATCAAAACATGTTTGCATCGATTTATGTGTATTATGTTTTTATACAAACATGACAGCATCAGGGGAAAATGTGCCAGTAGACTGTATTTTGTTTTTCAAGAAGTTTTTGCATCATTTAGTGATAATATTTCACTATTAGTTTATTAAATAATGTCAATACATTTTATATTGTTTTGAAAATGTGTTTGGATATACAGTAAACCCTCTCTAAGTTGGACACTTGGGTTCCACGAAAATGCGTCCAACTTAAAGAGGTGTCCAAGATAGAGGGATAGAGAAAAATCATATTGTCATCTAATGACAATATAATCTATTTATTTACATACACTAACTACTGTAGGCTTACTTGAATTAAGAATTAATGACAATAGTATTAATATTAATCTTTTGAAGCCCACTCCCATGTATTGCACATTACATTTTAGCCTCAATAACATTTTTTCGCTTCCCCATCGCAAAAAGACAAATTCCATTTCTGTTAATACAGTCTGAACTCAAATGCAAGCACAGTACTGACGGAGTTAAAACTGTGTCTTCTGCAAAACTGTAGTCCAGTTAGAGGTTCAGCAAAAAAATAGTTAAACACTTGCAATGCATTCCACAATGCATTCCAATGATGGCTTCAATGTCCATAAGATAATCCTCCAGAGAGGAGGCATTCATCAGTCAGAAATTCAAAATAACAAAATATGTAACTGAAAAAGTTTCCCTGAAAAGCATCGAAGTTAAGTGCATGAACCTGTCCAACTTACAACAAAAGGAGTGTCCAAGGTATAGGGTATTGTGGACATCAAAAATTATAGGATATTTGCTGGTTCCAATTAAAAGTGTCCAGGATAAAGGGGTGTTCAACTTGAGAGGTTTTACTGTATTTGGATACTTTGTGAATAGCGCAGTTTATGAAAACAAAATATATTTTTTTCCCCAAGATGGACAGAATTAATTCAGCATAGTTAGCAATTATTTAATTTTATTTGAAAATTAGTAACTGTCGAAAGATAATCTATATGATATTGAAAGTGTAGTACTGAATTACATTCTTAAAACTTAAAATTTATCACTGAAGTTAGTTCAGCTTTATTGCAGTTACCACATAGCTGTCAAGTTAGAAGTAGGAAATGCATAATTTTGATACATTGAGTTATTTTACATATAAACTTTAGCGTTTCTTTTCTTGGAGTAAAGCTTGCAGGATGGACAAACAACTACAGTTATCATGGAAAGTAACAAGCGTATTGCCCTGTTTGGAGCAAACTGTTAAACTCTTAAACTTTTCCATTTTATAACATACAAATTAAAAATCTGATGCCATAGCATGCTTTGTCTATTAGGTTTGCTGTTAAGAGAGGAATTGTCTGACAGTCAGCCCCTGATGTTCTAAATTACATGTTTCATGTTTATGCTTTGACATACCATTAGGTCTCTGGTTCCTTTGTAGTTATTAAATCAGTTAATTATATTAAAACATTCCGATAAAATAATTTAAATTCTGATGCACAATCTACTTATGATACTTTTTACAGTGTAGTTAAAAATATTATTAATTCTAGAGAAACATATGGTAATATAAAACTGGTTGGATCCATCAAAGGTTCTAAATGTCTTCACTTTTCAAAATTAATACTGTCTAGAAGGGTCTGAAAGTCATGCAACAAACAGGAAGTATTTAAATTCAAAATTATCAGCACAGTGAGCCCTCAGTATGTAATCAGTTGGTTTCTTGAAAATGTGATGGATAAGGAAGTGGCAGATATGGAGCAATATATTCGTGCGTTATATTGACAGTTTGTTCCTGGGAAGTCATAAATGTGAGCACTGAATTAATTTTTTAGGTAAATTAACACCAGTCAAAACTAGCCTTGAGATTGTTGAAAATCCTGCTTCACTGATGTGGAATTTATATTATTTCTCACAGCTTGCTGATCATAATTGCAAATCAATAATAGCTTCTCCATTTTCAGCACAATATTTTTTATGATTCTCAGACATTTAATTCTGCCACTCGCTGCTAATTATGAGACATTTATCGTTTGATCTACGGCGGGGGCAGAGGATTTTTTCTCTAGCCTCTGCGTCCAGACCGGTTCTGGGCCCCACCCAGCATCCTATGCAATGGGTACTGGGGTCCTTTCCCGGGGGTAAAGCGCGGCCAGGGCGTAATGCTAACCACTCACCCCCATCTAGTGCCAAGGTCAAGAATTAGCAGGTGCTATGCCCCTTCTCCTCCAATGTACCTACGTGGTGTGTAGTGGGACAGCCTTTACTTGATTTACTTTATATGTTTATCAGCCACATTTGTTCTTTCTGTTGTAGGCAGTATTCCATATTCGTGTCTGATATTGACTACTTGTTCGTCAGCTTCGGAAAAACATTAATTTTCAATTTTGTGTCCAAAATAGGGATTGGTGTTGGTCTACTGGCTTTCTCATTTTGTGTCCAAAACATAGGCACTGAGTTTGTTCCGAAAATAAAACAAATAAGACACAAGGACCTGATCTGAGAACCTTTCACTAGCAATGTTTCTGGTAGAATAAGACGGCTGATCTATGGGAAGTGACATACTGCCTGAGACAGGTGGCAGTATGAGAGCCATTGATGGATGTGGAAATAATAGTGTTTCAAAGTGAATGACGTGAGAAATGAGGGACTTGGAAGTTAATGGATATTGAGGGCCCACTGCATTAGCTGTTCTGTTTGCTGGTTATATATTACAGTGGTGCATCCAAAAAGCTTGATCCAAGGTTAAAAAATTATATAATACTTGTACTGGAGATTCCTTTGTTTAAATATGTAAGTTTTTATTAATCGTCATCATGTCCGTGTTGTAGACTAGGTTTTGCAATGGAGTGTTATTTGTCTGGGTTAAGTTGCCATTAAATGTTGAGAAATAACAATTGAGCACAATTCTCATATTCTTAGGTATCCATTCTTGAACAGTTGTGGCTTAAATAATCAGTTTATGTCATCTCGCACTTTTGTTTTGAATGACTGTTGAACTTTCCTGCTATGGAAATTTGTAAAATCTTGTCATTGCAGCTCAGCTGACTGATAATAAGCACATGGTTAAAGCTTAATCCTTGACATGTTAATATTTCCTTCAATCAAACAAAAATAATATAAATTACTAAACAGGAGTAGAAGGAGAAATAGGAGGATTTGAATTTGGATGTAACAAGAACATCCATGTATATTATTTTCTGTAGATGCATTCCTCTTAGTTTTGAATGTGAATTTTTAAACACAGTTAATCTTTATTTTATGAGTTTTCTTCATAGAAGCTCATTGTTATATTATAGTTACAGCAGTAGACATTCATAATGAGCCTTTCTTTCAATTTGTGTTGGGTATGAATTTTCTGAGTATGTGAGGTATATAGCGCTTTATGTTGCATTTTCATCCTATAAGTCCCTGCAGAGCATGAGGGTGACTGATTAGAAGTATCATATGCTCCACCACTGCTGTATTGATGCTACTGCTAAGTACTCGTTTCAGTGTTACTAACTGCTGATACAAAACTATTTCCAAACCATGAAGATGGCTGTTTTCTTGGTTGTTGCACTTTGCATTCTTGTAGAAGTTTACCGATTTTTCAGAGGTGCTTGCTGCCTCTGTCGTCAAGGCAGCCGGTCATCACACTGATGATGAAGGTAGCAAGCACCTTTGAATGTCAGTAAACTTTCGTCAGAAGAGAGCCATCTTCAGACTTGCCACTGTGAGAACCTGAAATCTCACTTAGTTCTAAGCCATGTTTTACACAAAAAAGGAGGAATCAATTTGGGCTATTTCACTAACAGGGATCCATTATATCAGGTTTATCAGCTGTCTTTCTGAGTATCATTAATGACTTTTATAAAAGTTTTTTAGTGGTAACCACAATTTTTGCAACACTTTTAATGTAACATAAGCAATATCTGAGGGATAAGAGGACAAAATATAGTTTACACTCAAAGATAACTGTCCTCCAGGATGTTGCACCACGTAATCCCATAGAAACATACTGGTGGTGTAGAGGTGCATACTGCCTCTATCATCAGGTTTATGAGCAAGCCCTGATGATGGAGGCAGCATGCACATCTGAAATGTCAGTAAATTTGTATGTTACAGCATCTCAGAAGATGGTTAGCTTCATACTTGCCTCCATGAGAACCTGAAATCTCACCTAGCTTGCACTGACTTTACATAGTATTGCATGATTATGGAATAATATTTTTCAAAAGCTTACATGTACTTAACTTAAAAGAAAACACATACATCAGATCTTGACATGTTTCTTGTCCTTGATGAGGGGTTTATTGGGATTTTAGCCATGCCATGAAGAATGTATGGAACTGGGGTGCCATATTGGTAGCCGATGGCTGTCATGCAGAATTACGCATAGTGTGAACATAAATGTTTATCATATTATTTCAACTTTTAAATTTCATTGAGTGACCTGTCATAAATATGTATACAAATGTTATCAAGTATTTGCATGTAACAGCGAAACTGACAAAAGTTAATAATTCCCTCAATCTGCTATCTAAGTATTGTCTTTGAATTTACTTTTTTCAATAACAATCCTTTTTACCATGTGTCTCATTAACATGAATGTAAGTTGTACACCTTTACTGATAATATTACATTGACAAAGGAGTTAACTAATATTTTTGCTAATAATTTTATTCTTTTACTTAATTCTATTTATTAACGAGTTTAGTTTTGTTAATTATTTTTTTAAGTTCTCTAAATTGTTGTATTTTTACCAACAATTTCTTGTATGCATTTATTTGTTAGTGTTATTATATTGTGCTTTGAAAGTTAATGGAATTCAGTAAATTACAGTATAGTCATAAAATTACTTGAAAAGTTATGCTGAAACAGTATCGTCAGATATCTGCATGAGACTGCAGGCAAAACTATCTATTGACCAAAATAAGAATTCTGTGAGAATTAACCTTCATACAGGGATAGGGTATTTATACCCTTGTTCTATGGAGATGCTGGCCAGACTTTAACTTCTGGGTCAATGGTTATCAGTATGCTAATGCGTGTTATAGAAGTTAAAAGTTAATGCCAATCAAAAATAGAATAACTTTAAATTGGTACCTGTATGTATCATTCTTGAGGCCAAGTAACTGTTGTAGAAATCAATTGAAAAGTTTTAACAGTATCCCTTTCTTACAAATACAGCACCATGTACCACGTTTCTTTTCTGGTTTATGAATTATACCATTGAAATGATTCTTTAATGTAAATGACTATACTGTCTTGGTGATATTCAAGAGAAAAGAAAAGTAGTAAAAATATGAATTATAAATAATAGTTTTAAATGCTGTTTGCTGGGGCATTCATATTTGAAATATATGAATAGTGTAGTTCTTTGTTTCTATTATTTTCAATGTGCACTAGAGTCAGCTTTGACATAACTTAAAGTAATATGCTCAGATATGTTTGCAACATCTCCATTCATTGGGAATATATAACAATACTGTTTATGCTGCATGTAACATTCTGATATATATAAGTACACCTATGTGGAAGCAACAGTTTCATGAGAAGGTAATATTCTGCAAATATGGTCGACAAGTTTAACATATGGCTGTATCACTGTTGTGCTATGTTGCTATTGAATTCTTATCACATAAAAGTTTAAACTTTCCATTTGTGCATACTGTGATGTTGGGTGACATAATGTACCTTATTCTGGAGCAGTTATGAATAACTTCATCATTGCATTGTTCATTATTTGTTGCACTTGAATTATTGTACAGTCAAACCTCTCTAAGTTGGACACTTGGGGTTCCACGAAAATGCGTCCAACTTACAGAGGTGTCCAAAATAGAGGTAAAGAGAAAAATCAGATTGTGGTCTAATGACAGTATAATCTATTATTTACTTACATACACTAACTACTGTAGGCTTACTTGAATTAAGAATTAATGACAATAGTATTAATAATAATCTTTTGAAGCCCACTCCCATGCATTGCACATTACACCCCAGCCTCAATAACATTTTCTAAAGTTAATTCCACCAATTTTCGCTTCCCCATCTCAAAAAGAAAAATTCAGTTTCTGTTAACACAGTCTGAACTCCAATGCAAGCACAGTACTGACGGAGTTAAAACTGTCTTCTGCAAAACTGTAGTCCAATTCAGGGTTCAGCAAAAGAATAGTTAAACACTTGCAATGCATTCCAGTGATGGGTTCAATGTCCATAAGATAATCCTCCAGAGAGGAGGCATTCATCAGTCAGAAATTCAAAATAACAAAATATGTAACTGAAAAACTTTCCCTGAAAAGCATCGAAGTTAAGTGCATGAACCTGTCCAACTTACAATAAAAGGGGTGTCAAAGTTCCAGGATAAAGGGGTGTCCAAGATATAGGGTATTGTGGACATGTAAAATTATAGGATATATGACGGTTCCAATTAAAAGTGTCCAATAAAGGGGTGTCCAACTTGAGGGGTTTTACTGTATTTACCAGAACCGGTTGTATAGATATATGGACCGAAGGTAACTGTGTTCTGTTGCCCTGATGATAGAAGAAGCAAGCATCTTTGAAATGTTAGTAAGCTTCTACCAGATTATATGGTGCAACATTTCATAAGGCACTCATCTTCATACTTTCTGTGATGAGTATCTGAATTTTACCATATATTGACTACTTATCTTGCTACAGAAATGCAAGTAAAAAGTAATTGTTTGAATAATTAAACTCATCTCAAAATCACATTATGGATCAAAGTTGGACTTTATTTTGTTTTTCTAGTTCACCTTAAACTTTATCATAAGCAGCTTTCTCAGAGTCAAATTTTCTTACTTGTAGATTATTTTAACAAAGACAGGAATTGATTTTGGAATTCTGAGTTAAAAGTCTTTAATGTAATATGGCAAAAATATGAAATGATACATATTTCATACCAGTGTCATTTTGTTTTCAAAAACTCAAGAATTTCATCATGAATTAAACTTGTTTTGGTATGCGTTCAGAATATGGATCATGTTGTACATATCCACAGTTCATATATATTTGGGTGCAGTCAGAAAAGTATCACCTGCCATCAGATTCTGCCTCTTTCCTTTATCACCATCATCATCCATGCCCTGTTACAGTGTATCTGTCCATCAGACAGGGTTAAACTCTGTCTCTGTGGCTCAGTACATAGTATCTTCTGGAAAATACATATGAAATTAATTAATTGCTATGATACAATTTCCGTCAAGATCTGTTATCATAGTCATTATTATTATTATTATTGCTGCTCCATAATTGGCAACTTCGCTATTGAATCAGAATAACAATAAAGGATTGAGTTGAATTTAATAGTAATAATTATCATCATCATAATTTCAGTTTTATAGATCGCCTACTAATCCTTTTTGTACTGCAAAGTTAATTGTTTTTGCTATGTGCAGTTCTGGCTAAATGCATATTCATCAGCTGCAAGTCTGTGCTTATCTTGATAATGAGCTAGTTGATCCCATCTGTAAATACTATAATTTATTGCTTTTATTAAAGTATTTTTCAATTATAATTTAAGTCCTGGTTTTAGGACAAAATATTTTGGCATTTGTAGAAGAAATTAACTTGTGTCAGAATAATAATTTGTAATTATTTTAACCTGAAAGATGATTTTGATGCCTTAGTTATGTTTCTTTGATTTATATAACCCAACAAGAATGTGTATATTTATGGCTTTACTTTGACCTTGCTTTGTCTCTTTGGATATTTTATATAAGCACATATGAATGAATATTTTTAATGCTCAGTAAGCTACTTTAGTATCTGTCTTGTGTTTTCTTTTTGAAATTATGAGTATGTAGTATCAATTAATGAACAGCATTGTTAACTCAAAATTTCTATGAAATCTACTGATCTTCCACCTTCAAAACATGAGATATTCATATCAGAATCCAACAGTTTTCAGACTGCTTATTGATTCTGTAATAAGACACACAATTCATTATCACAGTAAGCAGCCCATATTTGTTTGTCTGCTCCATTACCATTGAACAGCACAAAAATTTAATAGGTGAAGCAAAATATGTTGTTAGAATTTGTAAAAAGTTTTCTTTGCAGGCTATATGGAAACTTTATTAAAGACAGTGTATGGCATAGAGTAAGATTCATTAGTAAACTTTAATTAATATCACTAATGTGTCTAAAACATAACTTATTCACGTAATAGACATTGATGAAGTTTTAATGAGATGATAAAAATGCCTGTGGCGTTTGTCAATTATATTTAGAAAGATTCCTGTCTGCTTCAGAAATTTGTTGTTGATGCCCAGACTGTAATCATTGGAAATTTATTTGCAATATGCTATATACACCACCAATACCCAGGCAGTATTTGCTACAGGTGTGTTGGCTATATCCTGGTAAAGAATGCCCATAAAATTGAGGAAAGTTTCACAGGTAAACAAAGTCCCATATATACATTTTGCTTGTCATCAAGCTTAGAAACAACTGACAGTGCAGCGTTATATCTTCCTTCAGCCCAGCGACCATGTAGACATATAAACCTATGATGATGAGGTTAGAAATTTTGAAATAGTTTTCCATTTTACTAAGCTTATGGTTCTATTTTGTTTCTTGCTATTATTTTCTTCGGCACTATTCATTTAATTTATTTTTGTTACTGAATATGTAGCAGAAAAATGCTGACTTCTTGTCACTGCCAAAATATTATCTTTTTTCCCAGAACTTCTTTTCTTGTAGGAAATCAGTGAATAATATTCTTAATTTGTGTCGTTAAACTTCATGCGTAGCATCACCATACAGATTTAATTGGGAGACTCGTTTCTTTTTTAATATTGCATTTTAACAAAAATACTAAATCAAAACTAGAATTCTGTACAAGTTAAGGCTATGTGAAATTTATACAAAAATAGGTTTTTTGTATTTACAGTATACAGCCCTGATGTTGAGAATTTATTGAATTTGTCACTAGTTGTATAGCTTTTAAAATAGTTTATATGGAGAGTTAAAGGATTGTAGCAACAGCAATTACAAATTGCGTGCTGTTACTAAAAACTGCTTTAGTCAGGTCTTGATTTTGAAGTAAACGAAAATTTTACTTGTGTTTAAATTTTTTTTGGTACCTGTAAGGGCTTTTGTAGGAAGTGAACCATGAAGGGTGGTCAGTACACCAGAGGATGTGAAACGTAATATGTTTATTTCTTTGATATTATATTTAACATATTTTTGCTTTATTTAATTTTAACTTAGTCAGTCTGTTTTATGATTGAACTTCAAGACTTTAAAATTTTGTGGCAGTGAATTCTACTCAGTATAATATGTTAATGTAATTTTAACTGTTGGTGTGAAAACAATGTAAGTTGTAATGATAAATGTGAAAGTAACTGTTGTATATATTTTTTCAGCTCAGTACAGTATTTTGTGCATTTGTTTTAATCTGAATTTATTTTAGGTGTGTGGATATTAAGAGGTTTTACCATTGAGAAAAAGTAAGTTTGTCTTCAATTGAAATGGAAGAAGGTTGTTTATGCACTTTTATATTTTTGTACTTTTTCTGCACATATTGTAATATATACACATATATTATTTAAATCAAAGCATATGAAACATGAGATTTCCTTAATAACTTTTATTACTATGTTTAGTTTCCATATTGGAATTTTGCTGTGTCCTATTGTATAATACGCTGTATGAAATGTGTTTAAATTGTGAGTTAATTATTATTTTACAATGCAAGAAATTTCCTTTAATTTACTGTAACAGAATCATATAGTTCCATAAATATTACATTTATTTCAGATTCTAAATGGATTCTAGTGTTTTGAATTTGTTGTTTACGTTTCCCGCTAAAACATGTATGTATCTCATCTTTGATAGTTAGAGGGTGGGAGAGAACAATTCAGAATGTGAAACTGAAATACAAGTATTACGCTAAAGCCGCTGTCTTTTGTGTATGTCAGAACTCGTGAACAACGTTACGTACCCAGAGTAATGCACATTGTAAAAATTATGATTGTGATGCCATGTAGTCATTTAAGTTTGTTTGTGAAAAGTGGTACTTCCCCTCTTCATATATGTAAATATGAAAACTTGTAACTTCCCTGATGCAAACTTTGTTCATACACGCACACGTAACAGGTAGACTGTATAAACAGTATGAATGTAGGGTTTGAGGTTTTCACAGCTGTGAGTCTGAAGATGGCTGACTTCTGGGTTGTTGCGCCATGCAGTCTGGTAGAAGTTTACCGACATTTTAGAGGTCTTTGCTGCCACCATCATCAGGGTGGTGCAACAACCCAGAAGACAGCCATCTTCAGTATGAAAATATGTACAAAATAAATCATATCTTCACCTATATTTGACTGACCTACATTAACCTTGAAAACATCAACCTGTTTCTGGGTTCTGCTGATGTTTTATATTTTGAAGATGTTTAAGTAATATTACTTTGTAACATTACAGGTTTTTGTGGTGGTGATGATGTTGATGATGTTCTTTTGAGTTTGGTCACCATGTGGATTGGTTGGTTGATGCCAGCATTTCGGAGGAGTGTACTCTCTCCATCTTCAGGGCAGAAGTCCTGAAGATGGACACAGTACACTTTTACCAACCAGTCCATATGGCCCCGAAACCCAAAAGAAGGATCATCATTGATTCTTGTTTAATTCTTTGCCTAATGTTTAAGACAAATGACCAACAATGTAATTATGCACAGCTTCCTCTGCGCTTGCATTTGGTATAATTTTAAAATACATTTTTGGCTGAATCGTCTTCATATCCTAAATATCAGTAGCATTTCTTCTCTTGTTGAGATTGAAATCAGTTCAGCCATTTTTAGATTTGGTAAGCTATAAAGATCTTCTGCATCTCACTTTAGTGTGGGCCTTTTTGTAAATAGTAGTTCCGTATCTGAATAGACACCCAATGCTACATAGTAGACATAGTAAACGCAATTTGGACCTATATACCGAAAAATAAATCAGATATTAACAGTATTATTATTACATTTAAAATATTAATAGATGTTTGATGTTTTTTATTTGGAGGGGGGTACATGCATATTCTCGTATGTGGTCCTTTAAAAAATAGACACTTTTGTGTCTTATTTATTACAACTTGAATTGTCCTTTTAGTCTTGATTGCTCTCTATTTCAGACATTGTCAGTTATGGTTCTCTCATAATGCCACTTTTACTGTCAACGAGTTTGTGAATATACTTGCCTTAACTCTCTGCCAAAATAAAAACTGATGAGGATATACAAGTGCGTGTAGTTTGGTTATCCGCCCTCGGTGGATTAGTGGTTATCATGCTCGCCACAGAACCCAAGGTTCATCGGTTCAAACCTGGCTGAGGTCGATGGATTTTGTAATGGTGATAAAAATCAATAGTATGACTTCCTTCAGATGGGAAGTAAAGCTGGCGGTCCCATGTCATAGATTTATGGCATGTAAAAGAACCTTACAAGCATGTGCAAGAAGTTTCGTTAGCAAAATTCAGTGGCCATTTCTCACCAATGTGTCTCCTGATTCTCTACTACATGGCAGACAAATAAGTAGAAATTGTGCAGAGGCAGTGGGCTGGTCACTTACTGCTCGCTGATGCACACTTCAAAGACTAGGAAACTTCCCACATGGGAGGAGGCCAAAGCCATTGGATGGATGTAGTTTGGTTGATATTTACTTGTGATTGCTCTGAAATGTTGTTCACTTTCTATCATACTAGGTGGCACAACATCCCAGAATACAGCCATCCTCATTCTTGTTGCTGTGAGAATCTTAGATCTCATCATTGAACACACTGTTTATATATTGTTAGTATATAAAGTAACGTGAGTTCATATATAATGCAGGTGTTGACTCTCCTGGCTTTGATGTATATATTATACTATTTTCACATGTAAGTGCTATAATCATACCTTTAGAGTATAACGGAAGTGGTATTTGTCTTACTGAAGTATAAATCCTTCACTCTTAAAAATATGTTTAATATTTTATATTTATTTTGTGCTTAACTTATATATGAATAAAGGATTTAAATCCCCATATTATGGGCTGCCAGCCAGCTTAATCATGCGTACGGTTTATCACATAGACGATAACTGTCAATTTAGACAATGGCAGTTACTTGGAAGGCAGTGTGTAAATCAAATTGCTGATACATGTAAATGTGTAAATATGGAGGACAGCAGTCAGTTCATTTAACACGTGTTTCATTATATTATCCAGGAATCAAAGAAATTCTTTTGCTTCTTCAATGGACTTTTCTGGACTTGAATTAATTATACTGTGTTCTGTGTTCTGTGGACTTCTCTTCCAAACTTTACGAAATTTGAATCCTTTTATACGTATCTGTCAACTAATTATAGTGTAGTATGGAACTATATGGTTTTGAATATTGCGTAATAAACTAAAGAGTTGGACATGACTATTATATATAGCAGCTGTGGTGTGTTATTTCTGGTTCAGTGTCGAATGGCAAAAGCCTTGGAATTTTGCTGATAATCTTGTAAACATGGCATCAAAACTGATTGAAAATGAAGCATTTACTTGCAAATGTTTTGGTTTTAAATATTACTCTCATCATTTTCCCACTATATGCCTTCATATGTGAACGTGATAGTGTAAGATGGGTAATACAGACTTGGGTTAGCTTGTTGCCAAGACAAGATTTCCCAGATTTTGTTGGGTATTAGAATTGTGATCTTTTTGGGTTACCAGCATTTAAGAGGAATGTATCACCTCCATCTTCAGGGTAGGAGTTCTACTCAGAAGACCACAATCCTAATCTTTACCGTTGCTAGAAAGTCAAGTCTGAATTACAATAGGGTACTGGTTCTATGCAATGAATTTAACTGTGTATAATTGTTTTTACTGTGAATATAACAAGTTTCCATTCTTGTTTTAGGTGCAATTGGTGAAACCAGAACCATTGTATACATCAGTAGGTTGTAGTTAAAAATGGGTAAGCAAAACAGCAAATTAAAACCAGAAGTTCTGGAAGATCTGAGACAGAACACTGAATTTTCAGGTAATGAATAATTTATGTATGGATTTAATATTTCAGTGCATCTAATTTTTACTTTATCATAGACTTTTACATAAAATATTTTAAGAAGGATCAAGTTATGTAGAGACTGCAGAATATATTTTTGCTGTTACTATTTTGTTTGTCTCTGAAACTAACACCTGTAGGTGCTTTTCAAATTTTTACCTGTATTGTCTTTTAATAATTGTCATTTTTATTTTTTAACTTCATTTTAGATGCTGAAATTCAAGAATGGTATAAAGGATTTCTAAAAGACTGCCCTAGTGGTCACTTGAGTGTAGAAGAATTCAAGAAAATATATGGCAATTTCTTTCCATATGGTGATGCTTCAAAAGTAAGTTTACAAAATAAATAAAATTGAGCAATAAACTACAGTTGACGAGCTTTTAATCAGTACATAATAGTCATTGTTCACATACTGTCAGTGCAAATCATGAAAAATATTTTAAACAACTTCAAATTTTATTTACAAAAGAAAATTGTTGTACTCTTATGATACTGTGATTGCAAACAATGTCAGCAACAACAGCAGAACATAATTATAAGTAACACATCATTTGAAAACGTTTCAAAATTTAAATATCTGAGAACAACAATAACAAATAGAAATGAGATTAAGAGTAGATTACATCCGGGAAACACTTGTTTTTATTCAATTCAAAAACTGCTATAATCTCGTTTGCTATCCAAAACACGAAAGATGAAGATATATAAAACAATAACTTTGCCTGTTGTCTTCTATGACCATTATCTTCATTGTGTGATTAAATTGTTTGTGTCAGTTTGCAGAACACGTGACCATTATCTTCATTGTGTGATTAAATTGTTTGTGTCAGTTTGCAGAACACGTGTTCAGAACATTTGATGCAAATGGTGATGGCACAATTGATTTCCGAGAGTTCTTATGCGCGCTCTCAGTTACGTCAAGGGGAAAATTGGAGCAGAAGCTTAAATGGGCCTTCAGCATGTATGACTTGGACGGTAATGGTTTCATCTCACGACAGGAGATGCTGGAAATTGTTTCAGTGAGTAATAAATACAGTTCTGAGCTGTCTTAGATATGTACACCCTCATTAAGTACAAGTAGCGTTATGTTGGTAAGTGTATCATCAGTAGCACTTGGAGTGTGCTTGGTTTTTGTTAGTGTCTGGACCCTCATTAACTGATCTAATACACAAGTAGTTGGTCTTGCAGAAAGCCAAGAAAGAATCTGTTTGTCTAAATTTTATATGATTGAAGACTGGGGTCTCGGGTTCGATTCCCGGCGGTGCCCGAATTTATAACTTGTGTTGGGCAAGACCGTGGTCTAGGCAACACGGAGTTTTCCTCCGGGGGCTTCCCCGGTTTCTCCGTGGCATCCCAACAATTACTCCATTCACACACACAGAAGAAGGCAATGGCAAACCACTTCTGGATCATCTGCCAAGAACGTATATGAACAGGTCCCAGTCCGAGAAGAGAAAAGGATGGAAGGATCCTGTTCATATGGACCTGTCGTCAGACAGAACACTAAATAATAATAATAATTACTGCACAGAATTATTTTTTCCAAACATTAACATTTCCTTTAGTCCACTGGTCTTACAAGCCTCACACCTCTGCAGTTTGTTTAGTCAGAAAGTTACCAGTGTCGTCTTTGACCTGAGCCAAGTGGAAACAGTAGTCATGTATTGTGTTTGAATATTTGACAACAGTGACATTTATGTAGATATAGTCATGCTTGAAAACAAATATATGTATGTATATATATAATTTATTTATTTAGTGCACTATCGAGTTAAGGATGAATGTAATTTTAAATTGTGCGTTCTTGAGTAGTGTGAGTTCTCAGTTTTATTTCATTTGTCTGGATTAAATAATTATTAATGATAGACACGTGATATGCCACTTTGGCAACATACTCCACCCCACACTGAACTTGTAACGCCATGCTGTTGTTCTGATATCTGTCTCTATGTGATTGGTTCAAATCTCACATTACTGGAAATTGATTTTACTTTCTTTGGCATTACTTGTTGTTGAATTCTGAGCATCAGTCATGAATAGGTGTTTAATTTTATAGTCATCTGCATTGTGTGTAAGTAGTGTATGAACCTGAATTAGTCAAAATGGGTTGTAGCATTATGTGATGTAGCTGTGAAATATCGATAAACTTCTACCAGAATACACGTCTGTACAACCCAGAAATCAACCACCTTCATTCTTGCCACCATAAGGACCTCAAATCCTACTGGAATTAGTTTACTGTGATATGCAGATACTTAAAAACTTCATTAGTATGCGTTTGCTATGGATGCTTTCTCATTAAAATTTGTTTTATCTGAACTTGTTATCTGTGTCCTTTTTTTACATGTTTGAAGTTGGTGTTTTTTTAGTTCTCTGTACATAAAAGTTAATTGCATCTGCAGCTTGATGGGTTCAAGAGACTATTACAGCCAGTATCTTCTCAGTTCTCTGATTTGTTTTGGACTGTGTATTTTTCAGCTGCATAAAGTGGTTCAGGTTGAATCTAGTCAGGATGGTGTAGCATATTCCTGTCTCACCTTATCACAGTCAGATTTGTTATGTCTGTTGTTATTTAGTAGCAGAAGGTGCATATCTGCCATGTTTGCAGCACAAGCGAAGTATGAGATGTTGTTTCAGGCCATCTACAAAATGGTTGGGTCAGTAATGAAAATGCCTGAAGATGAGTCAACACCTGAAAAACGAACAGACAAGATATTCCGTCAAATGGACAAGAACAATGATGGGAAGTTGTCCTTGGAGGAGTTTATTGAAGGAGCCAAGAGCGACCCGTCCATTGTACGGCTGTTGCAGTGTGATCCGCAAGCACAGTGAACTGACCATGAAAGTGCTTGCAACTGATGATGTGCTGGCTAGCTCAGCCTTGTGGTCACTAGACCACTACATTCTTTATAGGGAATCTTAGACCACCTGCACATAGAAAGTGTATTGATGGATCCATTCTTAGGTTTGGAAACAACAACACACTTTGTTTTTGAAGGGTGTCATATGGTTTTGTAGGGGACCCTCCTTTGTGAAATAATTGAGGGTACTCTTAAAGGGAACCTGCAATCTTTATATTTAATTTAATAAGAGGAACAGTATTGGAGTGGCAGACCTGTATGGGAGTGGCTTGACTTCCTCTCATCTGAATGTGTGTGTGTGTATGCCTGTATGTATGTATAAGGGTGAATGTTAATAAGAATGTGATCTTTTTCAACTCTTTTTATTCTATTTTGCCAAGGGTTTCATCCCCACCACAATTTTCAACACACAACAGCATTTAAGTACTCTTCTTGCTCGATAAAGCAATAAACCTCATTAGAGACTTGAATTTTTTTCTCTATTTTACCTTCGTATCTTTTAGAATGTATGACAATATTGAACAATCAGTCTGCCACATGTTTTGCATAAATCTGGACTGTAATTTTTAGGCAGGTCTTGAAAGAAGAGCCATATTTTTATAGACACCACTCTGAACAAGACGGTAATCTTTTAAATGGTGTCTTTTCCCTCATTAAGCCAGTGGAAACATATGAAGTTAACGGATACAAAATATACATTTATTGACTGAGTAATGCATAGATTATATTTGCTCATACTGCAACAATGAATGTATATCATAAAATTAAGTAGTAATTCCAATTTGAATGCTAAACATACTTCTTAATTATAAAATTGCGTTGCTGACCCAGAGTAAAGCGAGATAGTATCATGATGTACGGCTGACAGTTTCTATGGATATATCATTACTATACTTAATGATCACACATTTCTGAATTTGTTCCACTTAGGAATAACTTGAAAACTATTTAGGAGGTACTTTATGCTTTAAAGTGCGTGTGGATTATAGATTATGCTATCTTCCCTTCACCAAGTTGTGTGGACATATTGTTGATAGCTGGTATCAGTGATGTCTGCACAGAGATGTTGATTGTTTTTAATGTCCTATATATATTCCTTAACTCTCTTTCTCAGGAATAATTAAAGAGAGTATTTAACAACAAAAAATATCTAAATATTTGTACTTGTTGGTTGAAATTTTTTGGGGAATTTAATGACTATGTTATGTGGAGTAATGTGGATTTATTTTTGGTGGAATTGCTTATAATTCCAGTATGACATGCCATCTTGCCCTTCTTGTTGATGATTTCTTACTGTGTCCCATCCATTTCACATTCCCAGGATGTGTGTTGGCCAGACTGAGGTACTTCATAACTTCTTTTAGCATTACTTTTATTAAACGGTTTACATTGCCTCTTTTGGCAGAGTACACTTACTCTATGCAAAGAGTACAGTACACATTGGTATGAATTCACAAATAAATTTTCTGGAAGCACAAATATTATTTGGAATATCCTGGAGAAATATTAGCAATAAAGACTTACTGGCAATAGTAATGTTTGTGTACAATCAAAATAACATAAAAGTATTTATATTTGACTTTTATGCTCTGTGCGATGCAGCTTACGTGCATTCCAGCCGCCTCTGCGTCCCACTAGCATGCCGCTAGCAAAAGTCCAGCTGGCAGCCCCATAATATGGGGATTTAAATCCCCAAACGATAAAGGTTAGCTGTACACACATTCAGTTTTGTAGAGCCCAGTATATTGCGTTTAGCAATACAGTTTGATTCTCTCTAAAGTTTTAATGTGATGCAAAATGTTTTTAGCCAGTTTGGTCGTAGTATTGTTTATTAAGGAATCAACTGTAATGCATGGACAATATCCTCTTTGAAAGCTGTAAAGAGCCATGGGGATTTTTTTAACAAGAATTATTTGTTCTGTCTTCAGAAACTTTCTTCTGGCCGTTGTGAGTTTGTGTGTTTCTGTGTCCTTGAATTAAGTATATTCCTGTGTGTTGTGTGTTCATATTTCAGGTAATGCTGTTTTCTTGCGGCATTAAATTGATTATTCTGTGTTAATATTTACGGTTTCCAGTTTTTATCCTTACCATTTTCAGCTAGTAATGGTGCAGCCAATTTGAGGAGTAGTGGGTGGGAGTTGGTGATGTTTTCTATTCTGTAACATGAACCTTGGCAGTTTGTTCAGACTAAACCAATACATAAATGTGGTAACTCATATTTAATAGTTAATTATAATGTTTGGCATTTTATACAGTATATTAATTATGCATATAATCAATAAAATATAAACCGCAATGAAGACAATTTCATAAAAGTGGTTATGAAGTTAAAGTACATGTCAGGTTTTCTTCTTCTGGGTTGTGACACAGTAAAGTCTTGTAGGTCGTTAACTAACATTTTGGAGGAACATGCCTTTTCCATCATCGGTGACTTCTGCCCTAAAGATGGAAGTACAGTGTTTATTCTAAATGGCTCTAACCGGCTTACAGAGGTGGCGTCACAACCCTGAATACCGAAATCTGAACTCTCATTGCATGGAAACCTCAAATATGAATGTAAGATTTAAAGCAACAGAATATAATGAAGTCTTCTAGGTGTTTAGACATTTTAAGTATGAAGTTACAAATCTATTGTTGTAAAGACTGTGTCTACATTTTCAATGAGGTTAGATGTGATAAATAACATGACTGTCCATTGTATTTGTACCAGTGTGAGTCATGGCAGTCATGCCACTCACCACATCTAACCTCATTTAAAAGGTAGAGACAGTCACCAGAACGCTGGATGGTAGTAGCCGCAGTGTTTTCATGGTTGTTCACCCAACAAGACTTTGTCGTGTTCAAATATCAGATATTTAAAATACATTGTGTAACAGTTTTGTACAGAAGATTCAGTTTAAAGAAAATCTGGTGTTTGTAAACATGCACGTACATGGAACAGTGTAACTTTATATTATCAAGAAGCTAGTAATTTGGTTTTTAGCCAGTTAATTTCTTCATTGATGGTATGTGAATTAAAAGAGACTGTTCGGTTGCTCCTTTGAAAATAATTTGGTTTAATTTGAGAAGGGCAGGATCATCTTTTACCAGCTTCATCTATGAGAATCTGCACACAATGTGACAGTGGTCTCTGTGTGACATCACCAACTACGAAAAGTCGGTATGGGCAAAATAAGTGGGGATTTAATGCATTATGTATAATAAAAATGTATAGCAAAATGGACAGAAATGATCTGCAAGGCCTAATTTGACAATGAATGATTATAATCTAGTCCATAGACTATAGTATTTTTTTAAAATCAATTATCTCTCTGCTGTTTCTTCAATATAACCAAGCAAGTCATAAAATTATTCCAGTAACATAATATGTTTTAAAGGTGATTTCAAAATTGGTTGCATAATATGAGAAACTGTTGCAGTTTGGAACAATTAATATAAAATTCAAACAGTTTGATTAATAAGCAGTACACCATGAATGCCAGGTGAATAAGTTGCATATTTGATTTGTACTTCCAGTAACGGTGTTCACCACAAATTGTGAATAATCTACATACCAACAGATTTACGTGTGATATTATATATAGACATTCCAAATTCAGCTGTTGTTGAGGATTGAAGGTAATGTCACAGCCAAGGATCACTGTGTTTTCTGTAAACACCAGGCTTTCTTATTCACTTTTTATAAGTTAGGGTGTGGTGTTTATTGATCACTGTTTGTGCATACGAAAGCACAAAATAAGAGCACATTTATACATTTTACCTTGTAAGTGTGTCATTGTACTTTACCGTGTCCTCCCTGAATTTTCTCCTAATAATTATTGTAATCTTTTGACTTAGGTGTACAATGTGATATGTCATTCATATTTCCTTCATCATATTTTTCACTTTGAAAACCTGAACTGTTATTGTTTTGTGGATTTCATCTTATATTTTGTGTCTAATAATCCCAAAGCCTTGAAATATCATTATTTGTAAAATTGCCTTCATTGAATTAAAGTGTTAAAGAGAATGATGCATGTACTTCCATAATAAAATCTTACTGTTAATTTCAGGTAATGTTAATAATAATAATAATAATAATAATAATAATATTGTAAAACAGAGGCTGAATGTTATGATCTTCAATAAATACATACAGTTTGACAAGTTATTAACATTTCTTCCTTACTGAATACTGCTTGGTAATGTACAGAACTTGTTGATATTTATGTTACGCAGCAAATATTTTTCTGCATTCTGCATTCTTTATTGTTATCAAGGTTTACAGTTTTAAATGTGGTGGACTGAAGTAGTACTTGATGTTGGTAAGGGTTCAAAATGTTAACAGTGTGCAGTGTAACAGCTTTTAATCCTTTACTGCAAATTAATTCTTGAGGCTGGTGTATCATAATCTGGTATCTTGTTGCATGTTATGGCATGCAAAATCTTCAGCTCTTATGCTTTTAATCTTTGTTGCTGAGTTATCTTTTAAAAATGTTAATGAGTTTTTTGCAATAGAGGACGACAGTTTGTTGATAGTTTATAACACTTTGCTTGAAGTAGGAGCTCAACAGGAGAAATCAAATTGTTCTCTGATAAAACTTTGCATTCCATAGGCAAAATAATTTTGATCCTCAATCATTTGTATACGAGTCTGGCTAGTTGTGGAGAAAATCACTCATTTTTGAAAGGCTTTCTGCGTGACATGATAAGGAGCTGGGGCGCCTCAGTATAGTGACTAGGCTATGGTCTGGCTGTTCGGGATTTGACTTTTTGGCAGTGGCAGAGAATTTTTTCTCCGTCATTGCGTTCACACTGGTTTTGGATGTCACCCGGTCGAATATCTGATGGGTAACGGGGCTCTTGATATAAAGATAAATCAGCCAAAGTGTGAAGTTGAAATAGAAAGTGCTCATTTAAAATATTGTGTGTTACGCGAAAGAAGACAGAGTGAAAATGTTTGAGGAGACAGCTGTGGAATAGATGGGAAAGGAATACATGAGAATTGAGAAAAGTGGATAAAGGAATGGAAGAAAGATGGTAAGGGATTAAGTCATGAAAGAAATTATTTCCCATTGAATTTCAATGGGTTTTTTACACTTGCAATAGAAATAAGTTCAGATAATTCACGATTTCATTTTATGAAAATTTTCTATTTATGCATTTGATTTTATACTACACTTATACTTCTGTCTGCTTATGAGTTATGTTTTATCTTGAAAACTTTTACACAGATTAACTATATAAATTTACCATAGGCGATTTATTTATGTAATAACATTTTAGCATGAACTATTCCTTCACCATGTCATATGAAAAGTTTTCCTCTCTGCCAGACAATTACAACCATATTTTATATTTTTGTTGATCATAATAATAGAACAAATGAAGATAAAAATATTTTTGTTAAAACCATTGAAGTAATATGTATGAGTGTGTACCTGTGTATGTTCGTGTGCATGCTGCCCATCCAATTTAAAATTATTTTTGTATACTAAATGCACAAAATTTTCTTTTGCAAATAAAATTACAAGCAAACATAAAATCATTTTAATTATAAGCCATCAAAATGTTCTAGCAGAACTGGTTAAAAATGTTTCTGTATCCATTTGTATGACAGTTATTATTAACACATAACTTAAATATTGTTGTAAGATGGCTGCTTTCTTATGTAGTCTGGTTGTAGTTTACCAACTTTGGTAAACTTCTACCAGATTGCATGGCGCTGCAACCCAGTAGATGCCCATCTTCAGACTCGCTGCCATGAAAACCTCAAATCCTACGAAATATGATTGTAATTGTATCAGTAACAAGAAAATCTTACCTGATTATGTTGTGATGAAACACTGACTGTCAGTTATTGATAATCAATAATCCTGAAGTCCTATCAAAGGCCACCTAAGATGGCAAAACCACAGTCACATCTCTTGAAATTTAATGAGATTGGAGGGAAATGCATGTCTTTCACGGTTTATTGGCTTTATGAAAGCCTGGAATCTCAGTTGTTTTAAACCAGTTTGTGACTCAAGATTACACAAATACTATGTTTAATTAATGCTGTATGTTTATATATGAATGAGGATTTGTGGTACCCCCGGAAAGGATCTCTCTTACCCCAAGGGGTAATGGTACCGTAGTTTTAAAAATGCTATATTATAAAGTAAAAACTTAAAAACACCAATTTTACAAATGTTATTTCAAACATGGAACATGCTTGAGGTACCAGACTTTTCTTTTACTTCGTCAAGTGTATAAAGCATAAAAATTTGAGAACTACTGTTATAGTTTGTTAATTGGATCAGAGGAAATATTGAAATGCCTATTGCATAAAACAGCAAATCTCATAAGCAAGTAAGGCATTTTTCTTATAAGGTATAAATTCAACAAATTATTCTCAGCTGCCAGGTTAGTATGGACTTAATTTTCCAATGTTTTTGAGATGTCTTTGCCTCCATCATCAGGAATTAAAGGGGTTGTGTTAAATACATTTTTTGTGTTGATTTGACATGGAATAACTCAAATGAGATTAGACAGATTCCGTATAACTAAAATAATACTGGAATGATTTCATTTCCACTTATAGGTACTTTGTTTTTCAGAAAAATTGTAGTTATGGTGAGATGACAATAAGCTTAAATATGAAAATAACAAATGGATAGACAGTTTTCATGGGAAACCTCTTGGGAAGTGTATAAAGTGAAGCTTTCGCGTCAACTGAAGTTGATGAAAGACTCTCGGGCAACAAAGTTGGCGGAGGAAATTGTTCATTCACCACTCAGTCACCTGACGCGGCTTGTCGCCCGAGGGTCTTTGATCAACTCTTGGGAAGTGCTTGATACAGCAGGAGATTAGTGTAGGTGGTGAGGCATTGAACTGGTTTTAACTGGCTCAAGATAGTTTCCAATTATGAGCTTTAGTAGTACCTGTGTCGAACCTTCGGATTCTGTTACCAAAGAGTTCTCAGATACATATCCCCTTAAATTGTGGTCAACTTTCCACATTAAATAGCAAAGTGCAATGATTTATTAGTAATAATTTATTATTATGGTTTTCTTTGCATAAAACACAAATTATATTTACTATTTTTGACTTTGTTTCATGTTATGACATCATACAGATCTAGAAGTCAATATAATGAAGTCATTTAGTGTATGGATTGAACCAGAAATCAGAATTAATGGTATTTCATAGTAATTACGTGAACATAAAATTATCAGTCTTTCTGAACAAAATATTTTAGCACTGGTATATTATTTTCTAATCTAAAATGTGTAGCAAAATGCATTACATAAGTTCTGTATAATCTCTGATATTTAGACCCATCCTGTTCAAAACACTTACTGATAACAGACATAAGATTTGCGTGTGTGTAAATCAACTTTTAAAATGAAAAGTATACATTTCATCCTTTATTTCACACTATGATTAAGTAAAATTCAAGTATGATACATTTCACAGTATTAGGTAATATCAAACATAAATCAACAATGAAGTATTCAGTTTTGGCAATGATAAGTAGCTTAAGTATATTACATGGTCATAGATTATTTCTATGTTTACAGGAGAATATAGTTTCATAAGTTACATAAATTGATAATTACATAGAAAAGTTAATTTTTTTAATGAAGTACGCATTGGTGTGGACAATTTTCCAGGCTTTATATGATTTCCATCCTCATCGTCATTAGTTTCAGAAGTTGAAGTTTTATCATAGGTTTTAGGTCTTGGTAAGATAATTACCTGTAATATTTAATAAGTAGGTATAAGATGTGTAAAATACTTTGTCTTTTAAAATTAGATAAAAGGGCCGTCTTTTGAGGGATACTTCAACGTGATGTTCATTAACCAACTTGTAGGCATTCGTCAATCTAATTGAGATACATCGCACACATCTGAAGTCAAATGGCCAGATCATCTTTAGACGTTGTCTTGACATGTGCTTATAGACCAAGAGCCGGGTACTTCCTGATCAGATAGTTTCTGCTGTGGAAGCAGTAGTAACTGTTGCTGGCGCGGATTGATTTTAGAAGTTCGATGTCCTTATTTCTGCCTTGAAAAGCTGCTGATTTTGTATCCTTCGTATATGTACGAAGGACCCGCTCAGCCCACGTCTGTGCTCGTGGGATATCCCGGTTAAGCCCCTTCGTCTTCCTATCCAGATAATCGATAACATCATCATAGTAATTATGGCGGTAGTCATACAGATACTTGTACTGCAGGTAAGTAGGTCGGTTCCAGTGTCTGAATAGGATTGTGCGGTTGGGATCACGTGTCTGAGAGACTTCTAGTGGCAGGCTCTCTTCAGGTGGAACCTCTGTAGATGGTGCTTCTTCTGGAGCTACCTCATCTGCCATTGCTGCTGCAAATGATAGACAAATCTGTAATCTTTCAAGAACACTAAAACATCATCAGTATGATCTAACAACGTTGAATTGCAAGAATGCAAAGCCCTACTTTATGGTACCTGCACCTTGTGGTGGTGGGGCTTGAGTACCTCAGTGACCCCAAGAGCTACTGGTAGGGCCTTGCTAGACAGATTGGTCGAGGGGGAGAGGTCAGATTAAGACAGGTACCCTGGTCCTCCAGGTTGGGGGTTGGTCGCAAGGCTAACAACCTTGCACCGTAAAAATAAAGATGTTTCGAAACCTCAACCTCGGACAGACGGGCCTAACAGAAGGACCAAATACGGACCGGAGAGCCATAGAAGAAGAAGAAGAAGAATGCAAAGCAGGGACTTTTTGGCTCATATTGTTGCCTTTGATACTCTTGCTAGCTGTCATTCCCTTGGTTGCCTCGCTAACGTCATTTCTCGTGATGAAGTGTAAAGTACGCCTTTGGAATGTTGGTGTACTTCAAAGAGTACACCTTTCCAATTGTGTTGAGTCGTGAGACAGTATATATAATTTTAAATTACAGGGTATAGAAACCATCAAACATTCATTTGAATTTGTGATTTCAGTTGTTTTTTTCAGTGGACTTTTGGAATAGTATGCTGTGTGTAGTCTCGTAAGAGTTTACTGACTTTCCAGAGGTGCTTGGCGGCTCCTGATGAAAGACGTAGTAAATATCAGGCAACTTCTATGTCAGATTATGCAGTGTAATATTCCAGATGGTTGTCATCATCATCTGAATTTGTTAAATTATATGGAATAAGAATTTTCTGAATGGCTGAAATTAGTTCTCTTTTCTAAGAGTACTGCATAATGTGAAATATTACACAGGGCTCTGTAGTACTGTAAATTATTCCAAATTCATTAAAACTGTTTGATACTTCTAGGCATCGTTCCTGTTGCTTAAAATTATAACGGAAAATGGAACAAATTCTTTACTCATGGTCCAGTTCATAAATAACGTAATATTTGTTCTTTTACGAATACATTTCGTAAACTATTCTATATTTTAGATTAAAATATAGGTTTTTCAAGTCTATAGAATATCAAAACAACACTTGACAGTGATTTTAACATTTAGCAACACTGTAATTGACCTTGTATCTACAACAAAACATGGAAAAAGTATGAATCAGGAAATTGAAATCAAACACCTAGAAGTTTCGGACCTGAGGAATCATACTATTGTTACAACTGATATTGTCACTATGACAGACAATCTTTTGTTTCATGCTCAGCGCATGCAAGTGTGTGCGTTTAAGTTCATGCATGTATGAATATGCAGCTTCGGTAATAAAACAAGTGGGTATTTTTTATCTGTGATGACATATTTTTGACGTAAATACGTCTATACGGAAGGGTCATTCGGCAAAAACAGCATTAGGAAAATGTGTAAGACTCATACCAACAATGTGTAAATATGGACCGACAATGGTCAGTTTTTATATGAACTCCTGCGTTCATAACAATGCTTTACTCCTTTACCTAAGAAACTAGTTGTTATGCAATCTGTTTACTCGGCATTGTTGTGTTACATTACTGCAGTCAACAATCCGCTTTCGTTATTGCGGAAAGAGCTGAGCTGTGAACTGTTTGTAGAAGAAGTGCGTCGTAGAGTAGATAATAGTGTGCTGTTAAAGACGTTTTAGAATATCACAATTACTTATCTTATGATTATATGATCACTGCACCTCCTTTCATTGTATTTATTGCCTAAATATAATTTAAATACGAAGACGTATTTACGTCAGATTCTCCGGAACCGTGGTTCTACTGTCACTTGCCTTAATGCCCAAATTCAAAAAACAATTTAAATGTGTGCATTGGTTTCACAAATTATAACTGGCTCCTTAATTAGTGAACGAGGTGTGAGACAAGAGCATGGCTAATTTAGAAGTGGAAACTACTTCAAAGTGCAAATCTCAGCTAGTAGGTATTCAAGCTGAGTTTTTAGCAGGGAATTTTACAAATACACAGTGGCATTGGTTTATGTGCATGAGGAGCATACAAATTTGGTTTTGGGGTATGTTTTCTCTAACTTGCTTGCAGAAAGATGTAATTTTATAGTACACATGCAAGTACTTTGGGAGAATAATTTTTTATATATATATCTGTGTGTTGTACGCTGGCCAAATGGCATTTGTTGTATACACATTATGAAATAACCTATTGCAAACTTTTTGTAGTAATATATTTTTCTAGCCACAAGAAAGAACATTGTAATGGTACAAAAGTTTCTGTATTGTTGGGAACTAGTGATAAATTAACAGTAACTAACTCTATGGAGGAGCGTCCTTCTTGAAAAACTAATAGTTTCTCAGCCGCTCAATAAATTCCCCATCTTTTCAGCAACATGAAGGTTCATTACCGTGTTCATAGGAGGACAAGTGTGAGGCTCTGTGTAACTTTCATTAATCAGATGTGCAAATATCCATTACCGATTTATTAAAAAAATAAACTTTTCATTTACATTATATTAAATACTGTTTTTGTTTGTGATTTTTTTTTTCATTTTATGCTCGGTTGTATTTAATAATATTATATCCTTGTCTTTTTCATTAGTCTTACATATTATCCGTAATTTTTTATTATATGACGATCCCTCTGTCCGCTTATGTCAAATAATTGGGACTTTACTGTATATTAATGCAAGTCATGACTGGATAATTACTAATAACTTACATAAAATAGAACCCTCTACTGGTCTCGTGAAACTCAAATCACAGAGAATTAAAGAATGCATCCTAAATTCTAACTTTGCTGATACAATATTAGAAAGCTTATATCTGAAAAATGCCTTCATCATCAGTAGCATGAATTTTGTAGGGTTAGGTTTCTAAAGCCAGTTCCTTTGAATGCCAAGATGGTCTCAAATAATTGTTAGAACTTGCGATGTTAGAGGTATTAGGCCTTGGTCACAAGGTAACAAGGATTGTAAAACAAAAAGTGCCTCGTTCTGTTAATTCTATTAATTTTAGAACACTTTATTCCAGACGACGACATCTCGATGCGTTATTTCTTATTAATGTATTTAAGGGCAAAATAAATTGCCATTCCATTATGGACGCTGTTGGTTTACGTGTGCCGATGAGGCAAATAAGAGAATTTTCTACTTTTGGTGTGATTAGTGGGCTAAGACATAGTCCTTCAGCCAGGTGCGTCATCGCTGCAAATGACGTATGTAAATCTTTAGACGTATTTAGCATAAACATTGTCTCCCTTGAGGACACGTTCTTAATAAGGGAAATGATCTAGATAGTTTGTCTTGATAGATGATCTAGCTTCGTTATCTGTTTTTTATATTCTTTAAAGTTTTACAATTATATTAGTGTTCCCTAGGTGGATTATTTGTTTTTATTTATATTTCTTCATTTATTTTGCTTTGTGTTAATATTGTTTCTATTTTGGGTTTGCCTGTACTTGGCAGTTACATTTAATACTGTACATGTATAAGTTTAGTTAATCTGTTTGTGTAATATTATTTATTATTATTTCATTATTATTGTATGTATTATCAGTGTTTGCCTGTTATTGGCTTCTTGCTATTGGCAAACACGTAAATAAATTAATTTAATTGAATTGAATAAGGCCGAATATCTTATTTTTTAATCATTAAATTATTTTAAACCTTTAGTACCAGATTTTAATTTTGATTAAATTTTCTTCTGATGATATTTAATTTACTTTTGTTCTGACTGTAGTTTTGTCGTGTAATTGGTGGTACTTATAGCAGTAGTAGATGTAGACCTTAGATTTTAGAATTTATTAATGGACCCATAAAGATATCTATAAGGGACTGAATAAAATGTAGGTTGAAGTGAGAGAACCAAGATTTTAGAAGTTTGGTCTTGAGTTTGTATATTGTTCTGGAGATCAGTTGCCCTGACGGGTTTTTTATGTGTTTCCTCAGTCGCTCCAGACATATTGTAATAGTGCTTTCAATTAGGCCGAAACTTATTTCAATTCATTAATAATTCTATTGCGAAAATATATAATATTAGCTACTGGAAATGTTTTTAAATATGCTATAAATAAATATAAGTTGCATTTGACATCTTGTATATAATTTAGTTGTTATCAATACAGATACACAGAGAAGGCATCTGTGATAATTAATAATGCATAAACATTACGCAAATTATAGGGCTTGATATATATGTGGTCAGCGTCTGACCCGAAGTGAGTTGACTTTACAAGCTAACAGACAAAAATTCACAAACACTTTCATGGACTTTGTTTCGGTGTTTCTCGTTTTTTTAAAAAGCAGAAGTTCCTTTTCAATTATTTTTTCTTGTAACAGTCATAGATAATAGAGTTGCGTCATAGTGTGAAAATATATATTTAATTAATTAATCTTGTCCGTCTAATCACAATTTAAAATTTAAAATTAAGGTAGTTAAAATACCATGTGATGCTCCTTATCGAAACATTCGATTTACATTTGGAACATCACTTTCTCACTACATGTCGGAACTCAGCTACACCTCTCATCTCAGACTGATATAAAAAACATCAACAAAAACATTCACCAACCTAAAAGTTTATTTGAACACGACGCACATATATAGAACAACTTCAAATATATTAAAATGGAATCTGGAAGTGAACACCACTAATAACTGATAAACAACTACAAAAAAGTTGCATATAAGAAATTATGATTAAGTTTTAAGTTTATATAATTGTAATTTTTACACACCTGAAGATGGTTCATCTAAGAACCGAAACATGTAGTGAGAAAGTGATGTTCCAAATGTAAATCGAATGTTTCGATAAGGAGCATCACATGGTATTTTAACTATCTTAATTTTAAATTTTAAATTGTGATTAGACGGACAAGATTAATTAATTAAACAGTCATAGAGTTGTCAGATAAGAGCGAAAGAAGAGAAACGTTTGTAGGGTAAAAAAAATAATTATATTATTTTAAAACACTTTACAGTGGTTAATGGATATTTACTTTG